TTTATTGCTTAGATGGGTGGACGAGCTCACAGCCCACCTGATGTTAAGTGGTTACTGGAGCCCATAGACATCCACAACGTAAATGCGCCACCCACCTTGAGATACAAGTTCTAAGGTCTCAAGTATAGTAACGACGGCTGCCCTACCCTTCAAACCGAAACGCATTACTGCTTCACGGCAGAAATAGGCAGGGTGGTGGTACCCACCCGCGCGGACTCACAAGAGGTCCTACCACCAGTAATTACGCAAATTATAATTTTGCGGGTTTCATTTTTATTACACGATGTTATTCCTTCACCGTGGAAGTCAATCGTGAACATTTGTTGAGTACGTATTTCATTTGAAAAATTGGTACCCGCCTGCGGGATTCGAACACCGGTGCATCGCTCAACACGAATGCACCGGACGTCTTATCCGTTAGGCCACGACGACTTCTAAAACTAGACTAGAACTTATATCTCAAGGTGGGTGGCGGATTTACGTTGTAGATGTCTATGGACTCCAGTAACCAATTAACACCAGGTGGGCCGTGAGCTCGTCCACCAATAAGCATAAAAAAAACTTATACCTAATGCATGTTAAAAATTACAAACATTAAATAAAATAAAATTAAAATTGAAATTAGTTTTTTTTCATTTAACATATTTATGTAATCAAAATATCTACCATTATTATCTATCTATCTATACATTGCTGCCATCTATAATAATAAGAAGGTCATGTACCTATACCTTTGCGATAGAACTCTGGTGATCTAGATTTTACAAACTGTGTGAAAGCAATTTTAACTGCCTCCTGGGAAGAAAACTTTCATCACGTAGAAAATTGTCCAAATTAGCAAAAAAATCAAGGTCTGGCGAATACGGAGGGTGACGAATGGTTCCTAATTGCAGTTCCTGTAGAGTTAAAATTGTTTCTCGTGCTGTATGAGGTCTCGCGTTATCATGGAGCAATAATGGTGAAGGTCGATTCATGAGTCGGGGTTGTTCACTGCAAGTTTTGCTATCATTGTTCGGAGTTCGGCACAGTAGACATCTGCCGTTATTGCTTGACCAGATCGGAGAAAGCTATAGTGAATAACGCCACGCTGAGAATAACGCCACCAAACAGCTACCATTACCTTTTTATTGGTAAGCTTTGCTTTAGGGCCCTGTTGCGGCGTTTGACCTGGGGTCAGCCATTGCATTTTTCAGTTACGGTTATCGTAAAGAATCTACTTTTAGTCACATATCACAATTAGATCCAATATTCCTTCATTTCCGTATCTGAATCGATACATCGACAAGGCTACGCAAGTTTCGACACGCGTTTCTTTCTGCAGATCAGTCAAATCATCAGGCACCCATTTTTCATACATTTTTATTTTATTAATTTGACGCAAATGAGTTAATATTGTTGGTAAGGTAACGTTAAGCCATGCCGCTAATTCCTGGGTAGTTTGGCTTCCACCATCTCTTTCAATTCATTGTTATTCACATGTGTGGGCGGTCTTCCACCTGGTTCGTTCTTTAAATCAAAATTTCCATCACGAAAGCGTTTAAACCAAAATCAGGACTCTGCTTATTTCTGCCATGAAACAGTAATGCGTTTCGATTTGAATGGCGGGGCGGCCGTTGCATTGTAATGTAAAAACGGAGATATTAGAAGTCATGTTTAGAGATGGGTGGCGTCATTTACATTCTAGATTTCTATGTGCTCCAGCAACGATTTGACGCACTTAATCAGCTAGCCGATTCCTCGAAACAGTTTTACAATAAAAAAAATAAAGAAAAGGTCAATGCTCATTTGGGTAAGGTCTGGTATTTTTTTTATTTTTATTTTTTTATTGCTTAGATGTGTAGATGAGCTCACAGCCCACTTGGTGTTAAGTGGTTACTGGAGCCCATAGACATCTACAACGTAAATGCGCCACACACCTTGAGATATAAGTTCTAAGGTCTCAGTATAGTTACAACGGCTGCCCCACCCTTCAAACCGAAACGCATTACTGCTTCACGGCAGAAATAGGCGGGGTGGTGGTACGTACCCCTGCAGACACACAAGAGGTCCTACCACCAGTAAAAAGTATGTAAAGTATGCTAAGGGCGCTGTCAAAAACCATTAAGGTGAAGTCCTGTAGGCTGGTGTGAAATTAAAACACTTGGCACCACATAAGGGCACCAAGTATTTGGCATTAAGTCGATCAGCGGACTGTGTGGGGTGCGCGAGCCGGAAATACGCGGCTGCCATCACGTAAATATAAACATTAACAGTACGTGTTTTAAATTAGTATTTAACTTTTAGAAATAATAATTAATCAACTGTATAATTGAATAATTAAATAAATTAATCTCAATTCAAAATATACTGAGCAGCTCGGTGTTGCAGTAGCTAGCGCTCCTGACTGCCGGGCCAAGGGTCGTGAGCTCGATTCTCACAACGAGGAAATATTCGTGTGCACATCACAGGTTTGTTGATCTTTGTCTGAGTGCTTTATATCTATAAGTAGGTATATATTTGAACGCATATAAGGTGTTCCACACAGGGTATATCAGGCCGACACGTGGCTATGGTATCAACAATATAAATCACGTTAAATAACTTAAAAAAGTCTAAGTCACAATTAGTATTTTTATCATAGAATCAGATCGGAGTCAGATTTCGTATAATTAAATATATAACTTTTAACAAATATGCAACATTCGATTATCGACTTTCAGTTGTTTTTTTTATTCAGCTCAGACAAGAAAGATGAATACTTCGAAAATTCCAGTGATTCTTGAATACGAGTTCCGACGCGGGACTGACGCTGCAGAAACAGCTCGTAATATCAATGTTGCGTTTGGAGAGGGGACTGCTGAATCTAATGAACGCACCTCATTTGCGTCAAATCAATAAAATAAAAATGTATGAGAAATGGGTGCCTCATGATTTGACTGATCTGCAGAATGAAACGCGTGTTGAAACTTGTGTTGCCTTGTTGAATCGTTACAGAAATGAAGGGATATTGGATCGAATTGTGAGATGTGATGAAAAGTGGATTCTTTACGATAACCGTAAGCGAAAAATGTAATGGGTGACCCCAGGTCAAACGTCGTTGCGACAGTGTCCTAAAGCAAAGCTTACCAATAAAAAGGTAATGGTAACTGTTTGGTGGTCTCAGCATGGTAGCTTTCTAGCTATAAGCTATAGCTTTCTCCGATCTGGTCAAGCAATAAAGGCAGATGTCTACTGTGCCGAACTCCGAACAGTGATAGCAAAACTTGCCGTGAAACAGCCCAGACTCATGAATCGATCTTTACCATTATTGCTCCATGATAACGCGAGGCCTCATACAGCACGAGAAACCAACTCTACAGGAACTGCAATTAGAAACCATTCGTCACCCTCCGTATCCGTCAGACCTTGCTCCAACGGACTACCATTTTTTTCGTAATTTGGACAATTTTCTACGTGATAAAAGTGTTCTTCCCTGGAGGCAGTACAAAATGCTTTCACACAGTTTGTAGCATCTAGATCACCAGAGTTCTATCGCAAAGGCATAATTGACCTTCCTATTAGATGGCAGCAATGTATAGATAATAATTGTAGATATTGTTACGTATTTATAAGTACATAATTCAAGTTGCGATAATATTACATAAATTATATTAAAATCTGCTGTCGTGTAGACTTAGTTGCTACGTGTATCCGATGAAGTTGTGATTGTATTACATCAAATCTCAATAATATGTAAAGTATCTGAATAAATCGCGAATATGTGTAAAACTAATCTAATTATTCCTGGAAATAGATAATAATAGTACCTCAGATATAATTAACTGAATTGATTCGGTTGGCTCCACCCATCTAGTGGCGTTGTCGATCACACCACCATTCCGTTGTGGTGGGGCGATCAGACGATATATTCGAGCGTTTCAGCGTAGCAATCAGTCCAAAAAAAAAAAGAAAAAAACAATTGAGGAGAGAAGCGTCCGCCCCGAAGAAAGAAGAAGAAGAGGAGAAGATCGAAGAAAGGATGAAGAGAACAGAAGAAAGAAGAGTCAGTCCCGCTCACAAAACCAAGTCTGCTACTCTCAAACCTGCATCTCATCACCCCTGTCTCAATAGGCAAGGAGATCCAGTCCGGACAGAGGGGTTTCCCCGAGGGCCGCTCCGCGCCCCTGCAAGGGGACGCGACGACCCCACGACTAGCATTCATCCATTTCGATAAAGCGGCACGACACGAGAACCCTCTCGTCGTCCCCGATCCACTAACGGTGCTTTTAGGAACCCCAAGCATCGATCATCGTTCTCATCGAACCCGTCGCTTGTGACGAAGGGCTCGGCGAGTAAATTAACCCTCAGACACAGCCCACTGAGTTTCTCGCCGGATCTTCTCAGTGGGTCGCGTTTCCGATTCGGTGGTAGATTCTGTGAAGCACGGCTCTTGCTAGAGTTCGTGTTGGAGACATTATTAGGTTTGAGCCCCGTGAGCTCACCTACTAGTTCGGTGAATCTAGAATAACCCCCTCGAGGTTACTAGAACAGGTAGGAAAAAAAGAGCATTCATTCTCGGCAGGGAGTTGAGAGTGTAAACACGATCACTGTTCATTATTCCGTAAGTGAAAAGTGGAAATAAATACAAGTTAGTGTAAAGTGACGTATTATTTAATTCCCGCTGGCCTAAGCCCATTAATATTTTGATTAAATAAATATGTTAAATGAAAAAAAAACACGAATTTCAATTTTTCAGTACAAATCGGCAATTTCATACTTTAACCCCGGGCTGGCCTTAAAGGAAAAAAACACTATTAAAAAAAGGCCTGCCAACAATTTCGACAGCGGCGACCTGTGACTGGGGCCGTCGTCCTCGTTTCCCGCCCGGACGTGCTGTGGAACATCACGCCGCAGCCTTGTGGAGCATCGCGTTCGCGATCCGCCGGGGTATGCTGGAAAACTAAGGACACCGCTAGAACGGGTCGTCGACGACCCGTCAGTCGGGCGTCCCCAGGGTGGCGATGCGGGTCTGGTTGCAGTGTTGACCGTGGCACCTCCCTACCTCGGGAGGAGAGTGCAAGGGAACTGAGTCATTTAGTTGGTAGGGCCCACGGTGTGCTCCCAACATCATCAAGTCCCACATACCCCGCGCACCCCCGAGGCGTGGACACCTCGTACGTGGTTCGGCCTCCTGCATAAAAAAAGGCTCGCCAGCCTACTAAACAAAAAAAGGAAAATCGGTTCATAAACAGATGAGAAAATTGTACTTTTAAGTGTTTTAATTCCACGTTTTATTTGTTGAAACAAATATTTTGGATTTACACTGGTATCTCTGTATATAAAAGATTAAAAAAATATGAATAATGGATATTACCGAATCAATAAATCAATTAAAAAAAATTTGATCTGGTACTTAAAATCCTAATCCATTGTGATAAGATTTGACGAGTTAATTACTATAAAAATCTTCAAGTGTCTGTAAAAGTCACTTGGAAGTCGAGTTTCTCGCAGTTTATTACTCTGTGATCCTAGGATGAGAGGTTTTAATGTATTGGCGCTGCTTGCGCTGGCGACTGCTGCCCATGCCTTCGTACCCATAGAGACCAACTATCATGAGGTGATTGGGATCCCTATGGCGATGGAGCTCAAGAGCGCTGAGGAGGGCGCTGACTTCGACGGCGCCAGGATCGTAGGAGGTAGTGTGGCGGGGCTAGGCACTCATCCACATCTTGTGAGTATATTTACCATTTTATAACAGTGTCTTTTCATTGTAGTTTCTTGCCGTAGATGGAAAGATGATTTCAGGAGGCGTCCTGTCAACCGGTCTGGTCTACCAAGCGTTGATTGGCTACTTATCGTAGCGTAGAGACATAACTTCTTCGTGGCAAATATGCCAGAGCTGTGTATGCTCCATCATCAGTAAACTACATTTTATAGAGATTCTCAGTTCTTGTAACGCACGTCACAATATTATGTTCTTAAATCTCTTTTATCACACTCTTTAAACTGTACTTACTGAACCGTAGTTACAATCTTCTTCCTAAGGCCGCTATGGTGATTACTTTGACCGACGGTCGCACCTCCATGTGCGGAGCCTCTCTGCTGAGCCACACCCGCTCCGTGACCGCGGCTCACTGCTGGAGGACCAGGAACTCTCAAGGACGCACGCTTCAATTGGGTTTCGGCACCACTCAGTTCTTCACTGGTGGATTCAGAATTAACACTAACAATGTTCAAATGCACGGCAGCTACAACATGGACACTATTCACAACGACGTGGCTATGATTATCCACGGACGGGTCGGATACACAAGTCAGTTCAGTCATATACCAATAAAATAAAGTATGGAAAAATAATAATAAACTACACAAGAACCATATTTCAGATGTGATCCAGCCGATCTTCCTGCCCCCCTCACATCTCCTCAACAACCAGTTCGTGGGTACCTGGGCCTGGGCTGCTGGTTATGGATTAACCAGGGATGGTGAGATTTGCTCGCTAATTTTACATAGTGCTCGTCATTTTATGTTTTTGACTTTAAAGAATGAATGTAATCAAATGTCTTAAGAATTGTCAGCTATCAATTGGAAACACACTTTTAAGGTTAGTTGGTCAAATTACTGAAGTTGTATCCAATTATTTTTTCCTGTTGTTTAGGCCGGCCCACTTCCACTTTTTCCCTCTTTTTTTTCCTTTTTTTTGTTTATCGAAAGCCGCCCATCCTAGCTCAGTGCGGCGCTTTATATCCTGTTAGTGGCTGCTACTTTATGTATTTGTATGTATCCAGGACGGGAACCCCAGAGGGTCGTCCTGGTTATACTTCTGTCTCTCCGCGGCTTGTTCACGATTAGAATCAAATACTGATACTTAAACTCAAATCAAAATAAAATAATCTAAGGAGTGAGATCTGCCTATAGTATTTATTATTTTGTACATTAGGAGGTGGTAGTAACACCCAGAAGCATCAAGTGGCTCTTCGAGTGATCACCAATGCAGTCTGCTCACGTACTTTTAACGGTATCATCGCGTCGACCCTCTGCGTGGACACCCAGGGGGGGCGCAGCACCTGCCGCGGAGACTCCGGTGGACCCCTCGCCTTCACGTACGCAGGACGTCGTACCCTGGTTAGTTCACTACACATTTACCGTTAGCTTATCATCTTATCATTACACAGTAAGCGTTCGTTGAAGAGGCATTTTTTATTGATATTATGGATGGGTAAATGAGTCTTGTGTTAACCGTTTGCTGGAACTCTGCGTCATCACATAGCGAATAGCGGTGTGCAGCGGCTTGGTTCTGCCCCTGGCATTGCTGAAGTCCATGGGCGACGATAATCACTCATCATCAGGTGGACCGTATGCTCGTCTGTCTACACCGGCAATAAAAAAAATCTCGGCACCCAGCTCGAGAGGTGTGGTCAAACAATCAATAATAATGTCTATCGACTCTCCCAAACTTCGACCGAGCAGATATAGGCAAATACTTCCGTCAGTAACTAAGCAAATCATAGCTTTTGCGGATTTCATTTTGATTACACCATGTATACGCACGTTTTTCCTAAGATTTATTCCTATTTTTCCTAAAATTATATTTTGGGCTTAATAGCCATTGAAATCTCCACCTCATGGGATTGCACGGTTTATATGAGACTGCCTCTGGCCGAAGCGGATAGCATGCGATAGAGACAAGAAACTAAGTAAGCGACGTCCTTGCACTATTCGCCCGAGCACCGAGCCTCACCGTGAGAAGAACCGAGAGGAGTACACTCGAGCCTATGTCGGCCGTCACGGTAGCGGCGTATCAAGCTGCCCCGGGTGCTCCCGCTAATGTTCCGCGATACTTCGTTTCGTTAGACCGTGAACCAAACCAGATCAAAACGTAGTACTGCTAACCGAACGCTCTTTATTAACTAAGCCCCAAACTCTACAGAGGCTGCCCTCCACAGGTTTTGGAGCTGGGCGTAAGACCTCCTCTTGGCCCTTTTCTCTTTTGGTACTTGCATCACATTGAATTACCATAAATCATGGACATTACTGGACCGCTGTCATTTGTAACTGTTTACAGATCGGGATCACCTCGTTCGGAGCTGCTCAATGCCAGCAGGGACATCCGGCTGGTTTCGCCAGGGTCACCTCGTTCGCTTCTTGGATAAGTGCTAGACTCTAGATGATTTATATGCAAAATAAACGTATTTATTTTTCACTGAATATCAACTTTTCTTTAGAAGACCTTTATATATTCACACATGCCCCGTATTTCTCCTCATTCCTACAGGACACAGTTGAATACATAGACATCCTGATAAATCACTTGTACACCGCGATAGGCAATGCGTATCACCAAGTCAACGTGACACAGGACTTTTGACGTTACAACATCTTATAATTCGATGGAGCCGGCTGCACGCACGAAAAAACATGACTTATGCGGCGTTACCTCGCTCTGAGGCGTTCCATTTAAGGCTTGAAGTGCAAGCGAGAGCGCGCAACGAGCGACAAAGAGGCACAATCGGCCTCCGCGTTCGGCAGCGTTCGACATTTGTCTCTCTCCTATTTGAGTGAGCGATGCATCCGCGTGGACAGCTGCTATACAATAATACACATTTACATGTTTTCGTCAAGTATGAAGTTCAGTGAAAAGAGGAGACTGGCAGTGTGGCAAGAAAGGTTAGAAAAAGTGAGTCTGAAGATCAGTTGAACAAAAACTGAGCACATGTTCTGTGACTTTGGTGATTCTTCAGACTTCACGTGGACTTTTTGGCGGGAACGCGAGGAGTGAAGTTGTGTGATTTGTTTTATTTTGTCTATTTAGTGTTACTTCAGGTTTAAATATGTAATAACGGTGGTTTATTAACTGTTTAATATCTGTGAAAGTGCACAAATCTGGGAAAATGAAACAAAGCCGCTGAACGTAACTTCTCGTAATCCGCCAAAAAGTCCACTGAAAAAATCTCAGTAAATGACCACCATTTTACTGCGATTATATTTCATCCCATATCATCTCATTTCATTAAATTTCATCCCAGTTGATTAATGTCTCAAATTAATCATCTTCATTTCATTTCACTCCATATTATCATTTTTCATAAAATTAAGAATATAAAGTAAAATAAGACATGACTTAAAGGTCTTAGTTACCAGGTCATAAAATCTCTTAAAAAAAAAAATAACGACTTTGGGGACTTTTTGGCGGGAACGCGAGGAGTGAAGTTGTGTGATTTGTTTTATTTTGTCTATTTAGTGTTTCTTCAGGTTTAAATGTGTAATAATGGTGGTTTATTAACTGTTTAATATCTGTGAAAGTGCACAAATGTGGGAAAATGAAACAAAGCTGCTGGACGTAACTTCTCGGGTTCCTCCAAAAAGTCCACTGAAAAAATCTCAGTAAATGACCACCATTTTACTGCGATTATATTTCATCCCATATCATCTCATTTCATTAAATTTCATCCCAGTTGATTAATGTCTCAAATTAATCATCTTCATTTCATTTCACTCCATATTATCATTTTTCATAAAATTAAGAATATAAAGTAAAATAAGACATGACTTAAAGGTCTTAGTTACCAGGTCATAAAATCTCTTAAAAAAAAAAATCAGACTTCACGTCAATCGCCTTAGATTGTGTATCCCTGTCTGCTCCCTCCGACTTCTAGTACCTCGGCTCTATATTCCAGAACGCCGGCAACATAGACCGTGATGTAGCGAGCTGAATAAACGCTGCTTGGGTGAAATGGAGGTAGGTCTCTGCAACAGCATGCAATCGTGGAAAGCCCCTTAAGCTTAAAGGGAAAGTTTACAAAACGGTCTTTTGGCTTGTCGTGCTCTATGGATCTGAATGTTGGTCGACGAAAGTAAGGCATAAGGATGAAATGAAGGAGGAGTGCACACGTCAAAGTTGCGAATGTTGAGATGGATAGGTGAGTGACAAGAAGGATAAGAGAAGGAAGGAGTATGTAGCGTGCAACATTCGCAAATAAAGTCGCACTCGGCCCTCGGGTGTCACCGGGTGCAATCGGAATTCCCGAACGCGCAGGTGTCGCGTCCCTGTCGTGAGTCGACACGATTCGCGCGCCGATTTAAGTATAACATAAAAATCGTAGCTTGAGTATAATTAGTATCGTCTAGTACACATACAGATCTAAAACATTATATGTTTTATTGGAATTGTGTTTGACTTGTTTAATTCGAGTAAGAGTTTCCTGCTAATACAGAGTGCTCTCTATAACAAACCACAAGTTTAACAGATGAAATGTGAAAGTAGCCCCAGTGTTCGATAAATTAAAGAGCGGACGGTCAGCATGGTATGGACATGACTTTTTTTTTTATTGCCCTTGTAGGCAAACGAACAGTGGCATTAATATCGCACGCTAGTAAAGTAATGCTTTATGTAATTAACGGAAGACTACAGTCCTATATTCAGTGGCAGATCCCTAGTGTACAGGCGGGTTTTGTGAAGGGTCGAGCAACACGAGAACAAATTGTAAATGTAAGACAAATAATTGAGAAAAGTCGGGAGCTTAACATGCCAATACTCTTGTGTTTCATAGATTACACAAAGGCTTTTGATTGTGTTCGGTGGGACTGTTTGTGGAGAATTCTGCGAGAAATGGGCGTACCTCAACATCTAGTATCATTGATCGCTAGCCTTTACCGGGATGGTGTGTCTATGGTTAGAGTGAATGACGTCATCTCGGGACCTTTTAAGCCGGAAAAAGGTGTGCGACAAGGGTGCATACTTTCTCCTATTGTTTTCAATGTTTATGGAGAATATATAATGAGGAAAGCCTTAGAGGAGTGGGAGGGGGGCATCTCAGTCGGTGGCATGAAAATTAGCAATCTGAGATATGCGGACGATACCACGCTTTTCGCGTCATCTGAGAAGGAACTTGCTGACCTATTCCGTAGAATGGAGTATGAGAGTGGTTTAGTGGGGCTCTCCGTTAATAAGTCCAAAACAAAGGTCATGATAGTGGACAGAACCAGTCAAGTCTCTAGAACTGGAGAGCTATCAGAGCTAGAATTCGTCAGCGAGTTCATATAACTCGGGTCATTACTGACCGACCGCGGGGGCAGTGAGGGAGAGATAAGGAGGAGGACGCAGATGGCCAAAACAGCGATGACCAAGCTCAAACGTATATGGCAAAATCGCAAAGTCTCTAACGTCACGAAAATGAGACTCGTCCGAACCTTAGTTTTCTCAATCTTTCTCTTCGGGGCAGAGTCCTGGACAATTAAGGCATCCGAGCGCAAGAAAATAAACGCATTTGAAATGTGGTGCTGGAGACGAATGCTCCGAATTCCGTGGACGCCCAAGAGGACAAATAAATCTATCCTGGATCAGCTTCGCATCCGAGTCAGGCTCTTTAGTTACCAGAGGATCCTCAGCTACTTCGGTCATATTGCCCGCCGACAGTCGGATAACTTGGACAAAGTGATTGTGACGGGCAAAGTAGAAGGAAAGAGACCCCGCGGCCGATTGTCTAGCCGTTGGTGTGATCAAGTAATCGCTCTAACTGGGTTGCCANTATGGAGAATATATAATGAGGAAAGCCTTAGAGGAGTGGGAGGGGGGCATCTCAGTCGGTGGCATGAAAATTAGCAATCTGAGATATGCGGACGATACCACGCTTTTCGCGTCATCTGAGAAGGAACTTGCTGACCTATTCCGTAGAATGGAGTATGAGAGTGGTTTAGTGGGGCTCTCCGTTAATAAGTCCAAAACAAAGGTCATGATAGTGGACAGGACCAGTCAAGTCTCTAGAACTGGAGAGCTATCAGAGCTAGAATTCGTCAGCGAGTTCATATAACTCGGGTCATTACTGACCGACCGCGGGGGCAGTGAGGGAGAGATAAGGAGGAGGACGCAGATGGCCAAAACAGCGATGACCAAGCTCAAACGTATATGGCAAAATCGCAAAGTCTCTAACGTCACGAAAATGAGACTCGTCCGAACCTTAGTTTTCTCAATCTTTCTCTTCGGGGCAGAGTCCTGGACAATTAAGGCATCCGAGCGCAAGAAAATAAACGCATTTGAAATGTGGTGCTGGAGACGAATGCTCCGAATTCCGTGGACGCCCAAGAGGACAAATAAATCTATCCTGGATCAGCTTCGCATCCGAGTCAGGCTCTTTAGTTACCAGAGGATCCTCAGCTACTTCGGTCATATTGCCCGCCGACAGTCGGATAACTTGGACAAAGTGATTGTGACGGGCAAAGTAGAAGGAAAGAGACCCCGCGGCCGATTGTCTAGCCGTTGGTGTGATCAAGTAATCGCTCTAACTGGGTTGCCAGTCGCAGCCGCCATTCGAGCAGCTGAGGAACGGACGAGATGGAAACAGCTCACGAGACAGGCAACGGTCAAGTTTCAAGGACACGACGTTCAGCAATGAAAAAAGCGACGAAGAAGAAGAAAGCAAACGAGCATACGGCCCACCTGATGGTGAGTGGTTACCGTCGCCCATGGACTTCAGCAATGCCAGGGGCAGAACCAAGCCGCTTCCTACCGCTTGAAGTCGTCGTGGCCTAAAGGATAAGACGTCCGGTGCATTCGTGTTGAAGCGATGCATCGGTGTTCGAATCCCGCAGGCGGGTACCAATTTTTCTAATGAAATACGTACTCAACAAATGTTCACGATTGACTTCCACGGTGAAGGAATAACATCGTGTAATAAAAATCAAACCCGCAAAATTATAATTTGCGTAATTACTGGTGGTAGGACCTCTTGTGAGTCCGCACGGGTGGGTACCACCGCCCCGCCTATTTCTGCCGTGAAGCAGTAATGCGTTTCGGTTTGAAGGGTGGGGCAGCCGTTGTAACTACACTGAGACCTTAGAACTTATATCTCAAGGTGTGTGGCGCATTTACGTTGTAGATGTCTATGGGTTCCAGTAACCACTTAACACCAGGTGGGCTGCGAACTCGGCCGCACATCTACGCAATAAAAAAATAAAAAATAATAATAATAATAATACTCTCCACAAGCCTCGTTTGAAGAAGGACATGTCATAGCGCTCGGGAAACACCGTGGAGGGGAGCTCATTCCA